CCCCCCCCCCCCCCCCCTACCAATTATTGGGATGGATGCACTGGCTTTTCATGGGCAGACAGTGGAGATTGCCTGTTAGCATGATATATCTGGACCATACAAAAATGCCCTCCCAGGTGGGTGACTCGAAACTGGTCACTTAAGCCTGATTAGCAGCATGTGCTGTGTACATGTACTTCTAGCGGTCTCACTCCTTTGCTTGCTCTGAATTCCACTTGCACAAATTTTTCTCGCTCAAGTGAACTTGTGGAGCAATAATACCATATTTCCGTGCATCCAGCTTTTTGCTTTGTCGGACCAGCTATTCATTTAAAAGTTTAAACAGTTAAAGAGGTCTCATATTTATTTATCTATTTTCTTTTTGTCTTCGACACGACTCTTGACATGATCATTCTTTTATCAATGGCCTCAAATGTGCATAATTATTATAGTCTCTTGCCATGTCAAACGACATTGTTTTAAAGGGTTTCTTTTTTAACCTCATCTAAATGGTTTAACTCATAGATAGAGGACAAACTAAACGTCGAAAATCAAATTTATCACTTGTTCGATATCTTTAATTGTTTAGCGTCCCTCATAAGAAGTTTACACTCCAGCAAGTTTGATCTAACAAAAAGAAAAAAGAAAAAAAAACTATTTTTCTACATCATGACTCAAAAGGTCGACAATAGCACTAGAGAAGCCCTTTTTGGCTTTTAAGTAAAGGCCAACATGCTATAATAACTATAAATATTTCCTAAATTTTGTTCAGAATGTCCCGATATTAACGGTTTCTGTGCAAATTAATGAGTACTGCAGGTAGGAGTGAAAGAAACAAAAGAGAGAGAGGACACAAAAGGAAATGAATCAGGAGAGAGAAAGAAGATGTGCATGCAAGGTGGATGTCTTTCACTGAGGAATTTGTGGATGAGAAAAAGGCAGAAAAAGAAGCAAGAATCTAGAAACAAGAATACCTTTCTTTACCATCTCAATGCTTGTTTGCTTGTTTTTGTTTTTGCATTAGTACACTTGAATGTTTAGTGAAAATTCATACAACGAAGAATGTTATCTTTAAGAATATGTTATTCAACACCACCGATATTAAATACCAATGTAGGTGACATCATTTGTATCATTAAATTATAGGTTGAACTAAATACAAGAATTTATGATTCATTTGTTAGTATCTATGATATGTTGACACCTAAACTGGTGTTCTATCATTACTAGAATTATTCTATGTAATTAACTTTCACATGCATCTATGCTTCAATTGGAATCCCCAACCTAATGAAAATGTAGCAAGTACGTCCTCTTGTAAAATGAATTTGGCTCCAATCTTTTAGCACACAAATCGACTATTTAAACATACTTCAATTTAGAGAGTTTTGCAATGCCTTCCTTCTTGTTCGATCTCTTACACAAAATTGCATGCCCTGATAAAAGATTAAAATCCGAATATATTTGGTTGGATAAAATGAAAATACATAAACTTATTCAAATTATCAGTAAGTTACATGTCCACGTGTGAGGTGGAAAGGCTCCACCAGTTTGGAAGATAGCATTTCTCCTTCGTTTGGGCAATTATATTAACGTATGTCAATGACAACTAGTTTTACTGCGAATGGATTGGGAGGTTTTAGTGATGAAATTCAAAGGAGAAATTTGCTCTCTATTATGATTATGAATGCGAACTACCATTGTGAAGAGTTAATTATGAGAGAATGTGACTTTTATTGGTTGGCTAGCTAGTTATAAATTTTTCCAATCATCCTTAGGACTAATTGATCCATACATAAACTTTATCTTTACAATAACTCATTTTACATGTTTTGTTGTACAAAAACTTCAAGTCGAGATATTCCTAACAAGAGTCGGCTTCCGCGACCCAAGTAAAGAAACATGAAACAGTGTCCAAAAAAAAAAAAAACTTGAAAAATAGATGGGTGACAAATTCCTCTTTTGTCTTTTGAATTATTTCCTCATCAGAATTAATAATTCTTTTATCTTTATGAATATTTTATTTTCCCTTCTTGATAGTAGTGCCAAGAAAGAAATTTTAGAATTTAGTTAATGGTTCTTGATTTCTTTTTCTTTTTCATTTTGAGTTTCTTTCATCATTGTCATTAAAGTTTGGGTTGCGCTACACGGATAGGACCTAAGTGACCTTTCCATTTAGAAAAATCCTTAAAGTTTTTGATGGTTATCATAGTTTAAAATAAATTAATATAAAATGTATTATGATATTATTAACTCTATGTTTGATCTCAATTCTTCAAAACTCATTTTTTAAATAATATATTTTATAATAAATTAATTTTGTAATAGAGTGCTTAACTTTTCTGTATCTTTTGAAATCACATTCTCTAAAATAATTACTTTTCACGAAATTTATATAAAACTCTCTATCAAAAAGGGACAAGAACATCTTCAAAAGACTCTTTATTTTTAAAAAACATATTCTATCATTTAGAGAGTATATATAAATTTGAGAATAAAAATTTGAGGCACTCCAACAAGCTCTTTATATTTAATATTTAATTTTACTACTCCTAAAAAATATTTATTATTTTTTTATCCTTTATTTTAATTAATTTTTCTCTAAATTGTTATATTCTTTTTCTACATTAAAAATTGAAAATAGTTTAAATGCATTTTTATTGAGAGTGAATTTGGCTACCCACTCTCTAAATTAAAATGCTAATTTAAAGAGTCTTTTAGAGCATATTTTAAGGATTGACTATTTCAAATAGAGAACATTTCTTATTAAAAGAGTCTCTTGAAGATCCTATAAGTGTTAGTAAAATTTACATTTTTTTCTTTTTCTTTTTGGTTTTGAAAGTAGAGATATTTTACACGTTCATTATTTCTTTAAAACAACAACTTAATAAAAGAGAAGGAAAAAAAGGTAGAAGAAAATACAATATAGCCATGAGTAGAGGAATAATTTAACGGAACTTGTACCGAAGATACGTGGCAAAATGTGATTCGATTCTTTTTTTTTCTTTTTTCCATCTTCCAATGATATTGCACCATGTGTTGTTTATAGGGTTTTTCTATCAAAAAATTTATACTCGCAGCATGATTCATACATCGTCCAAGATTTGGCGGTTGATAGTGTCCACAGATACATTTTCCCTCACCTTACTACGGCACCCTCTTCTTTCTTCTCCACCTGAGCACACACAGACAGATTCCGGTGAAATAAGGGACGGTGATGGGCGGAGGAACACTCCTATGCTCTTGGCGTTTCAACTTACCTAGTTGCAGCTACCTTGTCTCATTAATGCCACTATAAGCAAATCCAAGTGCTCTTCAACCTAACTTCTCGATTGCCTTCACAAACCAATGCTCAATTCTCGCCAAAACCATCATAATCAAAGACTCAGGTCCATCCTCAGAGCCACCGAGACAACTCAGACACCACCCTCCGCCATCGTAGAAACTGCCAACAAATCCATTGTCCTCGATGAAGAGTTTTCACTAGCCAACGTTTGATTTTTATTTTTGTTTCTGCTGTTATTGTTTAGATAGTTCTTATTTCTTTATTTTAATAAATGAAGGGAGCAAATGGAGAGTTTGTCATAATCTATTAAATTAAGTGCTTTATTTTTGTGAAATTATAGCACTTTCTAGTATTAGCCAATATGTGGATAAAAAGTTGACAATAATTTGAATCCAATGACATGTGGTGGTTAAAAATGAGTTCGAGGAAAAATAAGTTTGAGAAAAATGAGTTTTAGAAAATTGGGCCCAACAGAGGCATAATAACATTCGCATACAAAAGTAGATTATTTTTGAGGAAATTGCAATACATGTCAACTTTTGGCTTTACATTTTAAAAAATATCACTTTTTTTTTAAATCTTTGCAAGATTGTGATTTTTGGACATTTTTGCCCCCACACAAAATTTTAATACCCAACACATCCTTAAGTTGACAACATGGAGAAAATGTGCAATCAATCACCTTATAATTGTACTTAAAAGTCCCTACAATATATATATAAGAGCAACTATTAATAAATTGGTGAACAAGTTAATAGTAGGTCCCCATGAATTTAATGATTCATCAATTAAATAATGTATCATGTCATCGGTGCTTAACATAAACTAAGCACCAGTACTTAGGAGATCATTATATATATATATATATATATATATATATATATATCGGCACTTATGAGGTCATTACTGATAATTGAAGATATGTTGTTCTGAAATTTGCTCTCTCTCTCTCTATATATATATATAGAGAGAGAGAGAGAGAGAGAGAGAGAGAGAGAGCAAATTTTAGAACAACATACCTTCAATCAAAACGAGCAACAATGAACCCAGGACGATTTCGATCTACAGACACACGAAAAACTATGACAATTTTTCTCCAAGGATCAAGCTAGCAGATTTGTGCAAAAACAAAATCCATTGGCCAAAAGTACGAAAGTTTTTTTCTCCTAGGATTATGCAACAGGTTCGGGCAAAAAAGACCCAGTAGCAAGAAATTACAGCACGGGAAGAGAAATCGAGTCTCAAGAAAAGAGAGAACGGAAAGAGAGATTTTTTTCATCACATCCAAACGAATTAAATATCAAAAGAATAACAATGCACCATAGTAATATAAAAGCTATCAACCAAAGCAATTGCAATAGAAATTGACATGTATTGAATGAAGGGGTCTCAATGAGTCTAATGCAAACGGAAACAAATGGCAAATGATCCAAACACAAAGGATAGTTCATTCAACAAAAACTTAATTTAATCCCATACAAACTACAGCCGATGAATAACCATGTTTGAGACAACAATTGGAATAAAAGAAAGACCACCACCAGTATTTCAACGGTAGGATTTCTGGAACCTTGCACGAGTACCACGACCACAAAACTTCTTAGGCTCACAGCGTCTGGGATCTGCCACAAATAGGGTCATATTGTACCTCATGAGAATTTCCTCCATCTCCTTCTTGGACTGCTCATCCAAGTACTTCTGGTAGAAAGCGACTGAGGGCTTCGCGATGGACCAATTGATAGCATATATTTGGGAGGTGTGACCACCACCCTTGACAAGGATCCTCATATCCAACCTGACACGACCCGTCCCGAGTCACCCTAGTGGACCCGAAACATGGCATGCGGCAATGATAGATGTTGATTAGATGTCAAATCTATCACCAAGGCCGATTATGAGTTATTTCAAAAAAAAAATGCAACAAAATCAAATGCTTATATAAAATATAATGCGATGAGCCCAAAATATTTACTTCGTGCTTCATCAAAATGAGTTATAACACTCAACACGTCGTGTGGCTCTTATTCCGAAATCATTAGGCTCTTTCAGCTAAAAAGAATCAATTGCTACGTGTAGGAAAAATCGTGGAAAAATATATGAGTTGATAGCTCAGTGAGCAGAAAAGTTCAAAAATAATTATATTTTTTCAATTTTTACATTTTTATCGAAAATCGAGTTCATATCATTTCATAATTCACAAGATAACATCATGTAATTATAACCAAAAGTGAAACATTCACATAAGATCGTAAAATATCATATCGAAATCATGATATAAACATAAGCTGGTAATCATGCTATAATTTCATCACATCAAATGTAATAGAAAATCCACCAAAAATGTACCCTCTGACTAAAATCTGTAATCTGCCTCTCGGGCTAAAAACTTTCGCCACGGGCCTTTGGCCCCTCCGTGAACGAAAGTCAGTCTCAAAGACCTCTCATAATCTATTCTAGAACACGGTCAAGGCCCCTCTGTGAACTATATGTACACGATCAAGACCAATGTCAGGTCAAGACCCTTCGTGTAGGATATAACACGGCCAAGACCTCTCTGTGAACTAGAAGAAGTATATAATCATGGGTACTTTTCTAGCCGATCTCAATATTGCATGTCTCACATATCAAACAAATCTCAATATCACATGTCTTATATAGCAAATCACAAATGTGCCATAAATAATCTTTGAGATTTCACATGTATCA